CACGGTGACACCCTGTCTACTAAAAATACAAAAAATTAGCCAGGTATGGTGGCAGGTGCCTGCAGTCCCAGCACTTGGGAGGCTGAGGCAGGAGAATCGCTTCAACCCAGCAGGCGGAGGTTGCAGTGAGCCGAGATCGTGCCACTGTACTCCAGCCTGGGCGACAGCGAGACTGCGTCTCAAAAAACAAACAAACAAACAAACCCCAAAACAACAACAAAACTGCTCTTCCAACCCAGTTCCCAAATCTCTCGCAATACCTCAGCTTCTCAAATGTCTCGTTACCTCGAACTCTTAACTTCCTTGTCTTGTCTTCCTTACTTGTTTATGTCACTTGTCCGTCCATTCAACCAGTATGACAAGGTCCAGGGCTGAGCAGCTGAGCAAACAGGCAAGCAAACAAGCAAAACCAAACTCCACTTTTTAGAAGGGGGTAGAGAGGCAATGAAATATATACTGCAATGTACTGTCATATTTTTTCGTTCCTGATCAGGGTCATTTGAAGGACTGAGGCATCTTGGGCTAGAGATACCTTGTTTTCTCTCCAATCTCAACCAAAAACGTGACTTCCTTGAGGCTGGAGAAGGTATCTGTTCATCTGTGTATCCGCAGGTCTTAGCAGTGTGAGTATTCAGTGAATGCATGTGGAATGAACAAAGGAATTAAGTGAATGTGAGAAACAGAGTAAGGTACCGCCTTCTCTAACTGGGGTTGTTTGTGTTTATAACTTTTTAAAATTTTTCATTTATCAGGGCCACTCCAGTTATGAATGAAATTGGGTGTAATTGAGGTACAGAATGTGGGAACATAGGTGTATCTGATAGGAGATCAGGACTGGAGAGGATGGGGCTAGAGCCAAGGGAAGCTGCAAAAGGGCCAAAGTGGAAAATAGCAGGAACCAGATAAAAAGAGTACCCTTTTTCCCAATGCCACGTCCCTCCCATGACCTGAATTTCCTGCAGTTTTCTCTTCCTCCCTCCTTTGTCCTAATTCTCTATCTTTGGTTATTCAGGAGGGCCAGCACCCTCTGCTCCCATAAGGTAATGTGGCAGTGACTCAGGACACGCAGAGAGAGCATAGGCAGCAGTGTGTCGTTTCCCCTCAACATCCTTGGTAGAATCATCATGTCTGTCTCATTCACAAGTTGTTGTTGTTGTTGTTGTTGTTCTTCTTCTTCTTCTTCTTCTTCTTCTTCTTCTTCTCTTCCTCCTCTTCCTCTTCCTCCTCTTTCTCTTCTTCTTCTTCCTCTTCTTCTTCCTCTTCTTCTTCTTCTTTTTTCTTCTTCTTTTTTTTTTTTTTTTTTTTTTTTTTTTTTTTTTTTTTTGAGACGGAGTCTCGCTCTGTCGCCCGGGCTGGAGTGCAGTGGCCAGATCTCAGCTCACTGCAAGCTCCGCCTCCGGGGTTTACGCCATTCTCCTGCCTCAGCCTCCCAAGTAACTGGGATTACAGGCGCCCGCCATCTCGCCCGGCTAGTTTTTTGTATTTTTTAGTAGAGACGGGGTTTCACCGTGTTCGCCAGGATGGTCTCGATCTCCTGACCTCGTGATCTACCCGTCTCGGCCTCCCAAAGTGCTGGGATTACAGGCTTGAGCCACCGCGCCCGGCCTCTTCTTCTTTTTTTTAGCGTTAGCAGTTTCCAGCATCTGCATAAAATGATGTGTAAAATAGAGTCTCCGCCTGTCCTTAGAGAAGTTACTATCTAGGGGGAGTGAAAGGTCAACTACAGAAAAGTGTAGAAAATGCTAAGAAGGGTGGGGTGTTTGAATAACATATAAGGGGGCACTTACCCAGTCTTACGGTATAGGGGCTTTCTAGAAGTAGAGTCTAAGACTTAAAGGGCACGAGTGACAGAAAACCCAAAACAACAGTGACACAAGGTGGTTTATTTCTGTCTTACACAGAACCTAGAGGCAGCCATCCTGTGGTGTCATGGTCCATTATGGAATCAGGGCTCAGGTTTCTTCTATTTTGTTGTGCCACTAGTGTGACCTCTATTCCTATGGTCGCCTCATGGTTCAGGATGACTACACTTGTTCCAGCCATGATGTCCATGTTCTGCCTTCCAACATCGTACCAATCAGTGAAGAGATTGCTGGATATAAACTCAAGCTAATCCATCAATAGCGTTTCCTAATTATTTTCCTTCAGAAATGAAACACATGCAGAGTTAAAAATCACATAGCAGCTGGGCGCGGTGGCTCACGCCTGTAATCCCGGCACTTTGGGAGGCCGAGGCAGGTGGATCACCGGAGGTCAGGAGTTCATCAGCCTGGCCAACATGGTGAAACCCTGTCTCTACTAAAAATACAAAGACTAGCTGGGTGTGGTGGCAGGCGCCGGTAATCCCAGCTACTCGGGAGGCTGAGGCAGGAGAATCACTTGAACCTGGGAGGCAGAGGTTGCAGTGAGCAGAGATTGCACCATTGCACTCCAGCCTGGGAAACCAGAGCAAAACTCCGTCTTAAAAAAAAAAAAAAAAAAATCACATAGTACAAAAAGGCTTATGACAAAAAATTAAGGTCACCTGGCCTGGCCCTCCCTACCCCTCAGAAACAATTTCAACCTAGCTTTCAGGCAGGTGCTGTCAATGGGAGTCACTCTGACATTATGTACCACGTGACACGTTTGCAAAACCAACATGGCACCCCCAAAGGCGTCACTAGTGTCTCGGAAGGGTCAGCAGCAGCTGAGACTGCCTTCTTTATGGACCCCTTCTGTTACAAGAAGGAGTTTTGACATATTTAGTTTGACAGAGTTTAATTGAGCAAATAATGATTTGTGAATCAGTCAGCCCCCAGAACCAGAATAGGTTCAGAGTAACTCTGAGGCTGCCATGTGGTCAGATAACATTTATGGATAGAAAACAGAAAGTAGGTTGGGCGTGGCGGCTCATACCTGTAATCCCAATACTTCGGGAGGCCGAGGCTGGAGGATTGCTTGAGCCCAAGAGTTCCAGACCAGCCTGGGCAACATAGCGAATCTCCATTTCCATTAAAAAATAACAATCATTAAAATTTAAAAATAAGAAAAGAAAAAGGAAAGAGATGTCCAGAAAACAGAAGCGAAGTACAGAAAGAGTTGGACCCGTTATGTAAGCACAGAACCAGTCCCACCTGGTTCAACTTTGTGTAATAAAGTGGTGAGTTGTTTTTTCAGTTGCCAGGATCCCAGGTTGCAAGTTATGTAACCTGAGCGTGCACAGAAGAACCAAGCATTCAACCACAGGCGCAACCTAAATGCTCAGACCAAAGAACGGGAACGGAATTAAGAAGTAGATACATGGTATAATCCATGATCTAATCAGATTGAGGCATGGCATAATCCCATGGCAAGATCTAGTCAGATCATTGCTCACTGCAAGACTCAATCAGATCACGGCTCATTACCCTCTGCCTATAACACCTGCCACAGCCCCTGGCTTGGGGAGACAGATTTGAGCATGTCTCCTCGCCAGTTGACTTGCCACAAATCTTCCCGTCTACAAAAACCAGGTACTTCGGTGTCTGGCTTTCTGAGGGCAAAGGGATCCAGTTTGGTTCCCTAATAATGACAGATTGACATTTGCCTTATTGGAACAAGGTTTGAACAGTTGGCTGCCTGTGATTGGCTGAGACTCTGTGATTGGTATGAGTAGGTTCCAGTTCACTATGTACGGAGAAACCTTTAGGACAAACTTAAAATATGCCAGGAGAGAGCTTTAGGTTAAGCTTAACACTTCTCCCCTTTTGGTCAACCTCTTGATTTTGAGAGGTTGGAAACTTAAGACATTGACATCAGTTACCATTGTAAATAGACTTATTTGGTCTCAAATCCCGCTGGGAAATAACAGAGCAGTGGGTTTCGTAGATGGGAAAGGAAACAGAATAGAAACAAAACAAAACAAAAAAACAAAAAAACACCTGATTAGTTAACATCAGGTCACTTCAGGGTCCTTTTTTAAAGGGTTAGAGCAGAGGCGGCTTCCTAATTATGCTGCAATCTCCTGTTTCCAGGGGGGAAGGGAGGAGACAGGGAATATCGGTAATTCTGTAGAATAAATGGGTGGGCGAAAGAGATTAACTAGTAAATGGAAATGAGTGTGTGGTGGCCTTGGGGCTCCTCAGTCTGAGCTCAGCCCATCTGGGGCTCCTCCTAGGTTCTGGGCTTCCATCTGCTTCCCGCTCCTTTGGGGTCCCTCCAAGGTCGAGCTGTGTACTGAGCGAGTCCTCGGGGCCACTCAGAAGACAGTGGACGTCCGCGCCGGCGCACTCGCCCAGAGCGGCCTAGTCTCCGCCCAGTGGGCGGGGCCTCTTCTGGGGGGCGTGCGGCGTGCGCGGGAGGGGTCTCGTGGGCGCTCCGGTGGTTGTAGCACGGGTGACTGCGAGCGTGTGTGTGTGGCACGATATCGTGG